GTGAATCAACAGTCAGACCTTTCAGGTCTACTGCATCAAATCCAGAACCAGAACCAAACATTTAAAACTAGTATTACGTTCTTATTCTCTACTAATCTACCAAACTCTACTAAACTCAATAGTTTTAAATCTATATTTAAATCATAATTGTTTAGAGCAGCTTTTGACTGTGAAATCTAAACATTATTAGCTAAGTTTAAAGTCTAACTTTCTTGTTTTCTTATCAATCATAATATTATGAATTGCTTTATTATCCTTTTAATTTCAGTTCTTTATAATTTCTTGAAATCCTTCATATTAGGTGTGCCATGATTTTTATACAATGCTATGTTGTAAGCATTTGTTTTATTTAATCTCTCGGATTTACAAGTCTGATGTTTACGGAGCCCACTAGGGGACATGGGGATTTTTTTTTTCTTTTGCGTTCCCTCGCAAAACCTTTTGCGTGGGAACGCAAAACCTTACTTCGGTAAAGTTAGAAAGATATTCACAGATTCAGACTTCCGGGATCAATAACTCTCGTTGTTGAAACACAAATGGCGCCTCTTTCATGTCCTGATAGCGAAGACTAAGTATTACAAGAATCAAAAAGCGCTATTTTCGAGAAAAACGAGCCATTCTCCGAGCTGGATGTATTACATTGATCTCTATGCACAGGCAGCGGCCAGGCGAGTGGTTAGGGACCGTCTGCAAATGGTAATACAACAGCAAAACGTTTCAAATAAAAATCAATAACTCCACTGCCATAAAGTGCAGAGACTCCAAAATCACCACACACACCAAGGGGCTCTTGGTGATCGCACTACAACAGCTGGTTTGGAAAAATACAACATTTTTTTGAATTTGTTTATATTATTAAGCATTAATCATCCTATTTTAATCAATAGCTCTGTGATTATACAGTGCGTGGGAACGCAAAACTTTCGCAAAAGGTTTTGCGAGGTAATGCAATACTTTTGCGAGGGAACTAGGGCTGCAACAATGAATCGATAAAATCAATAAAAATCGATTTTTAAAAGCGTTGGCAACGAATTTTATCATCGATTAGTTGTGTCGTGCGATTAATGCGTCATCCGCCGCCGCCGTCATCACATCCACTTGACTGAAACGGTGGAAGAAAAAAAAATACAGCAGAGCGAGCCAGCGCTGCAGGGCGCAGTGTTGCCTACTCAGCGACTTTTCAGACCCCTCCAGTGACTATTTTTCAAAAAAGCGACTAGCGACAAATCTGGCGACTTTTTACGGTGTCACTGGCGGCTTTTGGAGACTCTTACGTGAAAGCGTGCATCGTTCCTACTCTGCAGGAGTCCCTCTCAGCGCTGCAGTCAGAGCAGCAGGATGTT